TTCATTAAAGAGAACCAAACTACAAGAAAAAAATAAATAAACAAAGAACAAACACAAACAGATAAGAATGAAAACAGAGAAACGAATAAAAAAACTAAGAAAATCTACTACTACGGCTAAATAAATCAGATTTAATGATATTAGAGTTCCACAGTAGAAAAGCTTCCATGAACTAAAAATCCAAATTTGATGGACGGGAGTCGGGAGCACAACCTGAAGGTGTAAACATTTCCCTACAGAAAGAGCTTGACGACGACACATGAGAGAAACAAGACTCTTCCTTTTCATGCAAACAGAAGGATTTAACAAACAGTCTCAAAAAGCACCTTCTCTAGACCCAAACTAGAAACAAAAGAAACTGCTTCGAATAGGCCTTTTGCTTCAGCTTCTAAAGGTGAGTTAATAGAAATGCTTTCACCTTTCAGACCTCAACAAAAAAAACCAGGATTGTCTCTAATCAGCATCCCAAAAGAAGCTTTAGAGCTATGCAAAAAAAGAAAAAAGAAAAAAAAAAAACTATCTATGTTAACTTTAAATAAACCAGCATCTGGCGGGTCCCATCCAATCTTCTTGTTAGACGAATTTGAAGTCTGCAAACATTTTTCTAATTTCACTTGCAAGTGCTGAGATGACTCCGCTATTGATATGTGAATGAAAGAGATAACTAAGAGAGGGTAAGCATCTTCATTATCAAAAAAAAAAAGGAAAAAGATTCCCATCTTTCCAAATATTATATTAAATTTCCCTAGACTTACAAGGATGTTGTGCATCTCAGAGAGCACTAGAGCATGGGTGACTGATTCCTCTTGAATCATACATCTGTCACAAATTGGGGAGGGGGGGATTTTCCTTCTAAAAAGATTTTTCTTCACTACAAGGAGCTTGATTTTCTGTTTTGCAGGCAATTTCCAAATTGCCTTCAATCTTCCTTGCCTAAACCAATTCTTGGTTGATATTCATCATTCATTAGACCATCTTAAATACTTAAGAAGTAGGCTGATTTGACTAAAAATTGACTTCTCTCATTAAGAGACCATGTAATTTTATCATCCCAAGAATTATTTGCTAGATTGAGTGAAATAAATTTTTGTGCTCCACACTCAAGGAGTAAACTATTTATTTTCCATATCCCAATATCTTTCCCCCTATTTAATTAAATCAGTCACTACTCTAATTTTTTGTACTTCAAACTCAAGGTCTAGGTCCATACGGTCTGAAATTTATCAAGCCTAGGACCCAAAGATCAATCAAATCCCCTTTGTTTGTTTTCCACAACAGAAATATTGTTCAAGGACTTTCATCTAGGTGGTGGTAATAATTTAAACCATTTTGTGTCAAATGGGTTAATCCATGTTGCCACGATTTAATAATAAAATTCAAAGAAAATATATAAATAAAAAATAGAAATTAAAAAAATTGGAAACATTTTTAACATACATATTAAACAATAATAAGTATGATAAATAAGAAATGTTTTTATTAATGATGGAAATTGAATGTGAAGTTTAAAACTAATTGAAAATAAAAATATTTTCCTATTCTCTCTCATTAAATCCTATATTTAAGATATATTTTTCTCATCATTAAATTCTTGTAATTAAATCCACAATACTAATTTTAATAGTATAAAATAAATATTTTGAAAGTAATTTGAAAACAAAACCATTTTCTTCCCTCCCGGTGGTGGGCAAGCAATTCGATCATTTGGGATCAAATGGATTAATAAATAATTCCATAATTAAAAAATAAAAAATTTAAAATAAATAAGTATGAAATGTAAGAAGTATTTTTATTAATGATGAAAATGGAATGCCAAATTTAAAATCTACCTAGAAATGAAATGATGTCATAGTCAAATAATAAAGTTTTTAAAAATAAAAATAAAATGAATCAGAAAAATAAAAAAAAAGATAGAGAAATTATTGGGCACATATCTAGTGTTATATATTTATAAAAAATAGAATATTGGGTACATCTCTAATATTATGCATTCATTATATTAAACAAAAATAAGTATTATACATAAGAAAAAAAATTTCAATGATGGAAATGTAATACAAAATTTAATGTCAACCTAGAAATCAAACTATTTTTCTTTTTGGGTGGTGGGTTAGTGGTTTGGGTCAAATGATATCGTAGACAAACAAAAACTAAGTGTGATAAGTAAAAATTATTCATATAATGTAAATGAAATATATAATTTAAAGGGAAAATTATAGTAAAAGCCAGTTATACATTTAAAATTAGGTTGTAGGTTGATCCAGAAACCAATAAAACTCTGACAACCGACTCTACATTTCAAATTATAAAAAACCCTGACATGTCATCAGAGGCTTATGTGGTTGTTGACAACATGGGACTCTTAATCCATGTTGAGCACAAAAAAAGCCTATACCGAAAATAGGCTTTCAATTTCTTTCCCTCTCTATCTCCTGATTTCCCTCCCTTCTCTCACTCTCGCAGTCATCTCTCGATCTCTCACTTTCTCAGCTTTGGTATGTAGCTTAAATCAAAACCTCAATTTCTCTCCCATTCTCTCTCTCTCTCTCTCTCTCAATCTCTCTCTATCTTCTTCCTCACTCTCCATCTCGGTTAATATCTCATTCTCTCACATTCTTTCTCCTGCTACTTCTCTCATTTTTTTTTAATTTTTCTTACAAACTTTTATAATATCAATTAGACCGTACAAAATAACTAAAGGGACCAACCACTTGTACAATAAAATTATAAATTTCTATAAAGTTGGTGTAAATTTCATAACCAATAGTTTCTTATGAACTTTTATCAAATTGGTGTAATGAATTTTTAACTATACCAAGTTGGTCTCATGTTCTTTTATACAGTCTGATTAATACCATATAAGTGTGAAAGAAAATAAAAAAAAAAAAGAACAAGAGAATGAGTGTGAGAGAAACTGAGGGAGAACGATAGAAATTACGAGAGAAAGAGAGGTTGACCGAGAAAGAGAATGAAAGAGATTGGGGGAAAACGATAGGTAGAAAAAGAATGAGAGAAATTGATAGAGAAAATTAAAATACAGAAACCGAAAACCATTTTTATTTGTTTTCAAATCACACAGTCGTTGAGCAAGGAGAGACAACTCTGAGAGAGAGAAAGAGAGTGAAGGAGAGAGAAACTAAAAACGATTTTCTTATTTTCTAATCAACTAGTATTGAAAGGGCAATTTCAATACAGGCTTTTTGTTGTGTCCAACATGGATTAAGAGTCCCATGTTGGCAATAGCCACATAAGCCTCCGATGACATGGTAGGGTTTTTTACAATTTGAAAGGTAGAGTCCAATGTCAGAGTTTTGTTGATTTCTAGACTAACTTGTAGCCTAATTTTAAATGTATAGCCGGTTCTGACTATATTTCCTTAATTTAAAACTAATCCGAAAGCAAATATATTTTCTTATCTAGATGGTGGGTCAATGATCCAACTTTTCTAAGAAACCCATGATGTTTTCTGACTATATTTCCTTAATTTAAAACTAATCCGAAAGCAAATATATTTTCTTATCTAGATGGTGGGTCAATGATCCAACTTTTCTAAGAAACCCATGATGTCATAATTGAATAATAAATATTTAAAAAAAGATAGAACACCAAAAAATGAAAGTATATAAAATTTTGTCAAGAACATTTGAGAACATTTCTAATGTTATATATTCATCATATTAAATACAAATAATTGTTAAAATAAAAGTTATTTTTATTTATGATAGAAATGGAATACAAAATAATAATAATAATAATAATAATAATAATAATAATAATAATAATAATAATAATAATTGTTATTTGGTACAAGCATTTAAGTTTATTTTTAATCATATTGTTGCTTTTGTTATTTTCAATTTATATCTTAAGTATGATATATCTAAAATTCAAGTCATTAATATGAAGAAAAATTTCTCATGTGCAATGCATGTGCTTAATTACTAGTATATATATTAAAAGAAGGTCTTTAGGCCATAGCCCCCCACCATTCAAACATGTGGCAACCTCAACTTTCTAGAAAAAGAATCTCAGAAGTTGGTTGTTCACATTTTCAAAGAGAAAACCCATTAATTCCTCATATACATATATTGCTTTTAACCACATTTAAATTTTGAACTCAGACATATGGCACTCTAAGACAAGTGTTATACGTTCAACAATAGTTCTTTAGAAATACATGAGAAGTGGGAAGCTCCCATTCTCATTCATTCCTAAAAAACTTCTGCCTACAACTACTTCAGTCTATTAGTTTTATTTAAATTTCAAATATAAATATAATTATTAGATAAATAGTGAAACTCAAATAAAATCTTCTCAACAAAACTCAAATAAAATAATATTACTACAAAAAAAAAGAGTAAAAACCAAAATGATACATATGCGACTGCCCCATAACAAGATCACATACTAGATAAAATATGATAAGTCTCTTAAATCAAATAAAAATCTATCTAAACAACAAATGAAAAACCTAATCTAAGTTTTTAATATAAATGATTTAAAGAAATTGAAAATTTAAAATAGTTAATGGCCCCGTACTGAATAGGGGAGTCATGCCTAATAAATGATGGGAAGAAAGATAACTTAGCCCTAAGAATCTTAACCCATAACCTATGATCATCATTAAAAAAAACTCAGGCAAGCTTCAAGAGAGCTTCGACTTTCCAGTTCAAGGCCAATCACAGTGACGTCACGTGGTGCATACTGATTGCCATGAGATCGGATCTGTTCCTGCATAGGGCGCTTTACACGCACATCCTATCATATATTCGGAACATCTCTCATACTTTTAACTTATTATTCACGGAAGATGTTCCCAATGTACGGTTAATTTGCATGTGAGGCGCCCAAGTGTGAGTCTTCACATAGGGCGCCTCACACGCACATTCTATCATGCACGTGTAGAGACGACATCACGTGTACTTTTTGCGAGATTAGATGCAGATGCGCATACAGAATCGCGCGATTCACAACTCAAAGTTAAGTAAACAGATAAAAAGAATCTTCCTCCAACGAACAAGGAACGTGCGAAGGGAAATGGCGGCAATCTGCTGCGTCTACGCGCTTCAGACTTTATATCACAGCGTGAGCTTCGCTTAAAAAGAATAACGATTACGAGATTTAGCAAATCGTTTTCGGGGTTTTGTTGATGAACTTCGTTACCTCTCACTCTACCTGTTTAAAATGATTGCAGAGAGTCGGGAACCTGAACCTCCGTTGCTGCTCCAGTGCAAAGGATAAGAGGGAAACGCCACGGTGGTTAAAGGTTGCAGTTAGTGGAGTTACAGAGATTCTACGGATTTTTGCTCCAGGAAAAGAGAGGTTAGATTTCTTTGGATTTGTGGACTTTGAATAAGGGACATTAGTTCGATCACCACTCGTCGTATAGTACTAGGTGTTTCTTTTTCTTTTTCCTTTTTGAAGATCTTGCAGAATTTTTTAATGTTGTTTAAATGGATATGGTTGGGGAATTTGCAGGAAAATAGCTTCTTGTTCTGGAGATTGAATTATGAAATTTTCTCTTATTTGCTTTATTTTGCATCAAGGAGTTCCACTATTAAATTTGCATTCTTTTGATGGATGAATTGTTTTTCTTTTGAACTAATTTTGATTCTTCTCCTAATATTTTTTTTTTTATTCATTTTAATATCTTCTTTTCGTAATCATGTGTCGCAGATCAAATAGGATGGATTACACAAAGAAGGATGAACTTTCTATCTACAGTGTAGATGATGTTCTCATGATCCTTAAATCTGATTATGAGAATGCTTATTTTGTTACGGGTAACATGGGTTTTCTTTATTTTATTTATTTGGTCTAGTTTTTCTATAGTGATGGCAACCGAACAGTGAAGTAGGCTAAGCAAATCTGCAGCCATTGGTAATACAAAAGTAAAAAAAGGAAAAAAGCGGATAGTTTTAACTAACCTTTCTGTCGAAGGACCATTATCCAATGTTAGTGCTAGCTATCCAGGATCTTCGGAGGGATGGTCTGGATATTGATCCAATCTTCTGCATTTACTTGCGGGAAGTGCCCACTCTCAGACTTGAACCACATTCTCAGGCTTGCCAGCCTGAGATCTTATCATTGCACCAAACAATTGCCCCCACCTTAACTAATCTTTCTGTTGAACATGTTAAATAATATGTCACTTTGATTTTTTTTTCCTTCCTGTGACTTCATTGATAACAGAAAACAGTTAATAAATTCATAGAAATGAAAATAAAATCCAAAAATTGTTCCAAAGATACAAGCATTTAGGTCATATCCAAAATTTATTCCAAGATAAGGTACAAGGCTAGGTGATAAGCTATCACCCAAGGAAGAGAAATCACACCATAACAAAAATCCCCCCACACAAGGACAAGCCCCTCCAACAACTACCTACCAACAAAAGCAATATTTTTTTTTTTAAAAAAGGTAAGGTAAATTTATTCATGATGAAAGAAAGATACAATAAAGGGGAAGCTCTTGGTACAAAAAGTCCCAAAGGGACTGATCAATCTCCCATAGATTGGCAGAATTAAGCATCATAAACATGTTCTGGCTACAAAAAACAGGGGTAACAGACAGCCACGATGCTAGTTTGGCTACAACACACTGGATCAACTCCTCCAACTCTTTCCTCTCATTTCTGAATATTCTGTCATTTCTCTCAGACCATATGCTGATCACTGCAGCTGGGATGGCGTTCTAAATGTATTTTCCTTTCTTTGATAAGCCCAGCAGGTACCAGCAATGCAGCAGACTATTCAATGTACCTGGCATTACCCAACTAATACCAACAGCATTGAAGAAATGAGACCAGATTCTCCAGACAATCGTGCAATGCGTACAGAGATGCTCAATAGATTCTTCTTCAAGGCCATAGATTCCACACCAAATATCATTTAAACTCAAACCTCTTTTTGCCAGATTGCTTTTTGTTAGGCATTTCCTTCATGCCGAGGCCCTTATCAAGAAATTGACTTCGTATGGAACTCGGGGAATCCATATCTGTTTATGAGGGAAATCAGTAGTTCTTCTAACATTCACTTTATCAACCAAAGATCTCACTGTGAATTTTCCATCAGCAGATCAAATCCAGACCCATTTGTCAGCTGAATGGGGGTGGAAGGCAAATGTATTCAGGCGGTTCAGCAGATTTACAACCTCCTCAACTTCCCAATCAAGGAAATCCCTTCTGAATTTAGGCTTCCATACCACTTTCCCTGGATAATTTCAAAATAATCAGCCACCTTGCCTTTTTATCAACAACTACAGAGAAAAGGCGAGGAAATTTCTCTTCCAAAGATGTCTCATCTAGCCATCTGTCCTTCCAAAGCCGAATTCTTTCTCCAACACCTACTTTGAAGCACACTCCTTTTAGGATATGAGGAAGAGTCCTCATTATAGCTTTCCACAAGGAACATCCATAAGAAGGCAACTTGTCAGTTATCCATCCCCCTGGCTGCAGACCATATTTAGATGCAATGAGCTTTCTCCACCAACCATTTTCTTCAACTCCAAATCTCCAGATCCACTTTCCCAATAAAGCAGTACTGAAACTTTTTATTCTTCTCAAACCTAAACCACCTGAAAACCTTGGACTACAGATCCGATCCTAAGCAATCACATGTATCTTTTTTTTCATTTTTCACCCTCTCAACAAGAAATCCCTTTGCAGCCTTTCTATTCTCTTAGCTATTGAACTAGGAATGGGGAAGAGAGACAGATAGTAGGTAGGCAGATTTTCCAGAGTACTTTTGGTCAATGTTACCCCACCACCTTTTGATAGATACTTTGCTTTCCACGAGGCAAGTTTCTTTTCTAGTCTTTCTAATATTGGTTCCCAAATTGTTGAAGAAGAACATTTAGCACCCAACGGAAGGCCAAGATAGGTGGTGGGGAGCTTGTCCATTTTACAACCCAACATTCCGGCCCACATGGCAAGATCCACCACATTTCCCACCAGAATCAGGGATGATTTTTCCAAGATTCAATTTTAGGCCTGTTACTACTTCAAACCAAGGAAAGATTCCCACAAGAGTCTCTATTTGGGGGAAAGAAGCATCTATGAAGCACAATGTATCATCCGCAAAATGAAGCACATTAACCTTTTTACCCCCCAGAGTTATTTCAAAACCCTCCCAGAAGCCCGCCTGTCCTGCCTGATTGATGAATTGGGTCAGAACCTCCATTACACATAGGAAGAGTAGAGGAGACAGGGGGTCTCCTTGGTGAATGCCTCTGGAACTCTTAAAGAAGCCAGAAGAGTTTCCATTAATTATAACCGAAAATTTTGGTGATGAGAAACATACCTTCATCCAATTTCTCCATTTCTGACTGAAGTTCATCGTTTCCAAAATAAAATTTAGGCATCTCCAGTTAACATGATCATAGGCTTTTTCAAGGTCCACTAGGATTCCTGGTTTTCCCGCCCTTATCGTTGAGTCGATCACTTCATTAGCAATAAGAGCACTGTCCAAGATTTGTCTTCCTCCAATAAAAGTACATTGGTTATCTGTTATTACACTTCCTAATTGCTTCTTTAGACTTTAATCTCTTGGCCAACACTTTTGCAAGGAGTTTGTAAAAGCTATTCAACAGGCTTATTGGCCTAAAATCTTTGATATTTGTTGTTCCTTCCACCTTTGGGATTAAGGTAATGAATGTGGCGTTCAAGCTTCTAACCAAAGAGGCAGAAGCATGAAAATCTTGAAATGCCTTCAGAATATCCTTTTTGATAACAGTCCAGCACTTCTTATAGAATAGGTTTGTTAAGCCATCAGGGCTCGGAGATTTATCCAACTCCATTTTCTGAACTGCCGCCCAAATTTCTTCTTCTGAGAAAGGTTTAATCAGATCATCCTTTTGTGATTCACTTAAAGATTTAAAATGCACACCTTCAGGCGGAGGGCGGTTCTTCCACTGCTCCAAGAACAGAGATTTATAGAAGTTTGTAGCAATGGCCTGAATCTCAGTTGGTTGCTCCCCGATCCTACCATCACATTCCAGCCTGTCAATATTATCAATTCTGAAGCGTGCATTTGCCATCTTATGAAAAAATTTGGAGTTCTTATCTCCTGCCTCCAACCGCTTCACTTTTGCCTTCTGACGCCAACTAATTTCATCTTTGTATGCTAGTTTATCAAAGATGATCCTTGCCTCCTCTCTATTTCTTCTCTCCTCTTCAGACAGTTGTCTCTGTTCTTCTAATCTGTCCAGTTCCTTAATCAGCTCCAGGCAATCCAACTTCTTTTGTTTGGTTGAAGAAGCTTTACCTTTCTTCCAGTTTCTTATGACAGACTTGATTGCCCCCAATTTCTTTGCCAGCACATAAGAACTCATGCCTTCCACCTGGATATCATCCCATTTTTCTGCAATTAGAGTCTTCAGCTCCTCCTCTTCAATCCAGCTATTGTCAAGTCTGAATGGTGCAGGTATCTTGATTTGTCTACCCATGACCAATTGAATAGGGCAATGATCTGAAATTGGACGCGGTAGAGCTTCTTGCTTAATGCTTGGAAAACTATCTTCCCAATCAGCTGAAACCAAGAACCTATCCAGCTTCACTAGGATTGGGTCTTCCTGATTATCAGACCCAGTATACTTTGCACCTAAAAGAGGTAAATCAATAAGCTCAAACCTGTTTATAAAATCTGAAAAGTCCTTCATTGCTCTCGTTCTATGTTGACTTCCTTTCTTTTCTTCAGCACATCTGGTTACATTGAAATCACCCCCAATTATCCATGGCAGTGTTGAATTACCCTTCATCTCAACCATCTCCTCCCAGAAAATATGTCTTTCCCTATCAGTGTTAGGGCCGTGGACGTTCGTAACTTGGCAGCAAACACCCCTTTCAATTCCAGGATTACTGTAACTGAGAATTCTCCCACTTTATGAGAGATCTTCGTAAACTTGAGGGGATCCCACATTGTAAGAATTACTCCAGCACTTCCCATTGCAGGCTTACCCACCCATCTCACCTGCCCCACCCCCCATACATTTCGAACAATTTGTGCACTAAGTCTTTCAAATTTTGATTCTTGAATAAGCACCACCCCTGCTTTCCATCTTTTCAGGGCCTCATTCACCACCACTTTCCTTTGACCCGACCCTAACCCTCTCAAATTCCATGAAAGAAAATTACAATCCATTTAATTTTAGAACAAAGAAAAGAACTCTTACTGCCTCCTCCCCTCCTTTCCTCTTCCTCCCCCTTAATCTCCTCCTTCAACCAACCCCCATGAGAGACAATGAGTTGCCTTACTCTTCTTTTCCTGCCCTCCTGTTTTCGCATTTCTTTTCCCTTTTTCTTTTAAAATCCTATGTTCTATCCCCTCTAGGAACTCTATGGTTTTGAGTTCCAGACCTTCTATCTAGACACCCAAGAACTTACCCAAATCTAATAACTTCGAAATTACCCAGATAGAAGAAGACTCTAGTCGTTTGTTTTTTTTTTTTTCCTCTGTAGAAACACTCACCTCTCTTTGCTCACTTCTCTCCCTCTCCTTTGATCGCTCCCCTCCTATTCCCTTTGGCACAAATCTTGAATCCTTTTCCGAGTGTTTCAACGGGCTCTCCCTTCCCCCTATGCAACCCTCCAACTTTGTTTTGCCCCTTCTTGCTTTAGGTGTCGATGTCCTAGGCATTAACATCAACTCCAAAACGATCTCCTTTCCTTTTGGCATCCCTTGAGATTCTTCGTTATTCCTTTCTTGTCACTGAACCTGTAAACTGCTACCTGAAGTTTCTTCTCTTGATTCCATGCTTCGATGATCCTGGATCGAATGAAGGCCCAAAGGACTTCTTGTCTCCTTAAGAACCGCTGGTTCGTCTGGCATAGTCTTGGGTTGAGTAACCTAGTTCAGTCCATCCAAAATGTACAACCCATCCTTTTTTTCCTTTGAGGCCCACCTCATGCGACATGCTTGCCATTTGACACGACACACCCAGGCTTGGGTTAGGAGCCCCGATCTGCTTGCCCAACTTTTGAGAATTTTGGACATAAATGGAGCCTCAATTGGATAAGCTTTTAGCCTCACCTTCTGGGAAGGTTTTCCTTGGAGAAGGTGTTTTAATGACATTTGGACCCTGGTTAGGTCCCACACCTAACTCTATTAAGCAATCTTTAATAAGATTCTTCAAAGCCAGCCTTGAGTCACCTTCGTCAATCCCCAGATTCAGAACATTAAAGGATTGTTGTTTTTGAGGTACCCGTTCCTTGTTGGAAGCCACATGAATGTCTGGAGATTGTTGCGGGTCTTGGCATGTGTGTTCCAACTGAGTTTGTTGTTGGTGAACCTTCTGAGTCGTATCTGATCTGATTCCCTGCAAGTCTCTCTTCCTTTCCTCTGGCCACATTCCATTCCTGGAGACCCTGTTAGCCGGTTTTTTAATTTTTGACATTTCTGGATCTCCGACATCACTCTCTGCTTCCTGATTCACACAACTCTCCTTCATCTTCCTTCGCAGGCTAACAGAGGGTCTTATATCTTGCCAGATCCCTATCTTGAACACCACATCCCCCACCACCATCTCCACTACCTCCGGTATGTTTCCCCCTTTTTCAACTTTGATTCGGACCCATTCACAGGTTCGAAGTTCCTCCAACGTATCATCAGTTTCAATAAAACCTCCATATAAATGCCCTATGGCCTTCATAACACTTGGGCACCACAACATCAGCGGTAGGTCATACACCCACACCCATATTTCCTTTGGCCGGTCCTCTTCGTCCATCGTTTCTGGGAAAAAAACAACTGGTGCTTGTTCCCCACCAATCCAGAAGGAGGGAAATTTCTTCCTTTTTCCAGGGACCTTGATTCGGAATCCTGGCCTCTTCCCACTTAGATGGAAGGATGAACAAGAATAGGCCTTGGATCAATTTCTTCACTCGAACCCTTTCACTAAGGTCCATGTCTGATGCACCCAATTCTCAATCTCCTCTAAGCCCACCAAACTTTCAAATCTCCCCACCAAACAACCCTTAAGGAATTCTTTCCTTTCTTCCACTCCTCGCTCTTCTACTTCCACAAAGTATCTTCCTCCTTCTCGTACCACTATCTCTCCAAATCCTGGCCAAGCCGCGTTACTAAAGGTTAAATTTTCTCTCACCTTGGCGGAAGCCATTAGTTTATCATACCATGCTTCCGATCCCCAACGCCTATTACCCCTATAAGCTCCCCACCTTCCTCCTCTACTCCTTGATGATCTCAGTCTTCCCTTCATTCTCAACTTCTCCTTAGCAGTGTCTCATGTAGCTCACTTTCTAGTGGAAAACATGAAAGCCAGTTAGTTACTCAAGAGGGACAAATTTTTCATCTTCACATTGCCAATACCAAGACCCCCTCTTCTTTCCTTTTCAAGCAACATCTAGTCACACTAAAGAGAAACCCAGCCACCCTGGAAAACTTACATACTCCATGCCTACAAAATTCATCCATCTTACAACAGATGAACAAAAAAGAAAACCAAAGCATCTCTATAAATTTTTACCACATTTCTTCCACTCAGAATGAACTTGTTCTCCCTAAAGGCCATTACCCAATGTTGGTCCCAGCTATCTGCTGTCTTGGGAAGGATGAACTGGATACGGGCATAAACTTTGGCGTTCTTTTTGCAAAAAGTGATCACTCATTAACATGCTTTTTCACACTTGTCAGCCCTTGTCAGACGGAGGTTTTGCCATTACACCAAGCAATGGCTCCTTCTCTGTAGATAATATGATAGACATATTATCAGTTGCTAGTTGACTGTGTTTTCAAGCAATGACATGAGTTTTTTGGGGATGAATATTAATTTCATATGGATTTTAGAATTTTTTTAACACTTCTATAAGGAATTAAACTTATGTGTAGACAGTGCAGCAAAATAAAATATTATATTGGCCTTTATTTTCACATATCAGATGAGGTGGCAAGATCTATGTGTTTTTTTTGGGAAAAAAACATATCATAGCTGGTTTTTCCCCTAATTAACTTGTGGGAAATATGTTGCTAAGAGGATTGGACTAGATTTAAGTGATTTCTTGAACTTCTTCTTAATGTCATCAGGCTGAATGCTAAGAGCAATTAACACAATTATCATTTGAAACAGGGGATTTCACTTCTGCAATCTATGCTGAAGATTGTATCTTTGAAGATCCGACTATTAAGTTCACAGGTAGGACTTTGTTCTGTGTGTAATATGTCTATCCATGGCTTGTAGTCTTTTGTCCTACTTTTGTTGCTGAATCTTATGCATTATAGATGCATATTTGCAGTTTTAATACAAAATCTGTGCAAAGGGAAGTTTTATCTTGTCATACATTTTAGGGCGATTTATTGTGGTTTTATTTATTAATTAGGACATCTAGAGTAAGTTTAAATCAAAATTTTGTTGGAAGTGTCTCTATCAATATATGCCTAGAATATCAAAATATGTATTTCTAGAATATCGATTTACTACTTTTGTATTTAAAGAATGACAAGAGGGCCCTTCTAATGAACAGCTACAGTGTTAACAATAACATAGTCTGGTATATACTAGTTTCTGTTACTTAGTTACAAAAAAAAAAAATAAAAACTAGTTTCCGTTATTTCTAATTTGTGTAGATTTCAATAAAATTTATGTTTTCTTAGTTCATGTTGATAAGTTTATTTGTCTTCTATCAGTATATTTCTGCTTTCTAGCCGTATCAGACATTAAGACATTCTATTGCCTTTACAGACATGGTGAATGTGGGCAATTGCTTTCTTAGTTTGGAAATAAGAAGTCCATATTTCCACCGCTTTGCTCTATGCTTTCAATTTTTTATTTTTTTTTTTTGGTTAAGAAAAGATTCATTCCAACACAGAACAGAGCCCAAAGGCATACAACAGAACAGCACCAACAAGAAGCAAGAAACTAACAAGACTACGAACTAAATAAACAGAGAAAAAAGCATTTAACTAACTAAAAAACCAACTCAGATCAAAGAAGAAAGCCAGTCTGGAAACAGTCCATCCAAATTTAGGGAAGAAGAAAAGCAAATCTTGGCTAACTTGTGAGCTGCAACATTTGCTCTGTGGGGGCACCAAAGAAACTTGATTTCTAAGCCTTCAGAGACTAAGAAGATCTTCCTTCAGATCAAAAGGGCAAAAATAATCAGAGCTGTTTAGATATGAGATCAAGGACTGACAGTCTGATTCTACAAAAAAGCGCTGTAAACCACTTCTCTTTGCAGCTTTAACAGCTTCTAACAGAGCTAAAGCTTCTGCCATTAAGGGAGAATCAGCCACAAGAGGGCCACAAGCCGCCCATTTACATAAACCTGAAGTATCCCCTGCAATAGGACCAAGCGATGCTTTATTTGGAGCCCTGAAACCTGCATCCACATTAATCTTCACAAAACCATCTAGCGGTGGGCACCAGCAAAAAAGGGAGGGTCTCAGATCCCCTCAGCTGAAGAGTTTCCCAATCTCAGCTGCAAGAGCAGAGATATCTCTACTGCAAGAGCAGAGATATCTCTGCTGCAAGAGCAGAGATATCTCTGCTGTCGACCTGTTGATGGTATTGAGAATTTCTGATGGGTTAGTAGAGCAACTTTCAAAGACACACCTGTTCCTATCTTTCCAAATCTCCCATAGTCCTATTGAAATTTTTACAACAGCATCCAAATTTCCAATATAAAGAATTTTCAGAGTTTGAGAAAACCAATCTGCAAAAGGGACAGACCTGTCCACAAGATCCACAATAAGACCCAGACCAGTCTCAAACCAAATGCATCTACTCTTTTCACAGTGAAAGAGAGTATGCGTTACTGATTCATTCTCTCTTTCACATCTGCTACACAAGGGAGAAGGAATTATTTTCTTTTTAAACAAGTTCTCATTCACAGCAAGGCCATTTCTACAGCATTTCCACAAGAAATTTTTTATTTTTGGTTAAACCTGGATATGCCAGAGCTTCTTCTAGAAGGATTTCTCCTCCAGAGAGTTGTTTCTTAACGGGCTCGAGTCACTCAAATCCATAGTGGCAATAAAATAAGCTGACTTGACCGAGAACTGTCCTGAAACAAAACCAGTCCAAATTGGTTTGTCATCCCATGAATTCAAAGGAAGTTTGATTTTTAGGATCTTATCAGCCACTTCATCTAAAAAAAAGGCCCTTGATCACCTGGGGATTCCAGGTTCTGGTATGACTGTCTATAAGATCAACAACAGTTTGATTTTGACTTATCCTTGGGCTGGTCCCACTGGTCTTAAATGATCCATATCTGGAATCCAAGGGTCTGACCAAATTTTGATCTGGTTCCCATTTCAACTTTCCAGATTAAACCTTTTCTTAACACATCTCTCCCTCTCAGAATACCAGTCCAACCCCAAGACCGAGAAGTCCTCTTGTTAGCACTAAGAAAATGTGTGTTCGGAAAATATTTAGCCTTCATTACCTTTGTCCACAGACCGTAAGAGTCATAACATAGTCTCCAAGCATGTATGGCCAGGAGGGCTAGGTTAAACAAGTGCGGGTCCCTAAAACCTAAACCCCCATTATGTTTATTTTTACAAATGTTATCCTAGGCTACCCAACTTACTTTCTTTTTCCCATTGTTTCCCCCCACCAAAAGGTCCTTTGTAATTTGGAAATGTCCTCACAAACTTTCTTGGGCAGCAGAAAACTGGACATGCAGTAGGAGGGGATGGCAGTGAGCACAGATTTTATCATGATCTCCTTTCTTGCTTGAGAGAGAAGAGAGTCCTTCCATCCTATAGTTTTTGAGGCCACTCTTTCGTTAGTGTGATTGAACAATTGACACTTCCTTCTGCCTATCAAAGGGAAAGTTCCAAGATAAATAAAAGGATTGTTCACTTTTTCAAGTGACCCCTATCTAGCTTGACTTTTATATTATCCTTGCCATCCCTTCTATTATTCTAAGTGTGGTTAGTGCCATAGAAAGGTATTTCCATTAATTTCCACTATCTAAGAAGGTTTCTTGTCTGTCTAATGTAACTCCATTTGTACCTCTTCCCCCCTTCTTTTTCATCAAAATGGAAAGCCATATTGAGGTCACCCACACAACACCAAGGGCCAAAGGATTGATCCACAATTTTGGAAAATTTCTCATAGAAATTAGGTCTTTATTTTTCTTCTCAGATTCTCCATAAATGAAAGAGCACCACCAAACTAGATCATCTTTTCCTGTAATTCTAGTATTCTAGTATGAATTACATTTTTGTTTGCAATTTCTATTTTGAGACCTATCTCTTTTTCCCAAAAGAGAGCCAGTCCACCCACTATGCCAATGGGATCAACACCCCAACAATTCCACTGAATTAGATTATTCATCTTCTTTTGGCAATTAACCAAGGAGCACTTTGTTTCATTGAAAAAAATGATATTCGGATTGATGAGGCAAGAAAAAAAAAGAGAAATGTGTGTATGTATTCTGTTTTGCATGTTTTTCTTGTAGTAGGATCCCAAATTGTTGTTTTGGGTAGCTTTGTTGACAGTTTGGGACCAGGGGTATTTTCGTCATTCTATAAGTCAGATATTTGGTCAGGGGCAGTTGGGTGCATTTCTGTTGGGTTTTGGTCTCTTGGTTATTTTTGTAACAAAAGTAATCTTCTAGGGATTCATTTTGAAGTTAGTATTGTTCTTAAGGAGTTGTTGGTGAGAGGGAAACATTCTAGGGGCTTATGTGTACATATTTTAACTAACTTGTCCAGCAAGCCAGTGAGTCTTATAAAAGAGAAGGGGGCTGTTTTTGTAGGGGTCTTTTGGTTCTTTCTCTCGTTTGAGCTGTAGCTCAGCCCCAACTAGGGTTTTCAAGCATTGGGAGCTTGGGTTTTGAGGAGTTGACCCATTTTGGCACCTTCTAATCCCTTCATCGCTGCGTGTCTGTGCGGGAGGCCAGCTTGCTGTCATTGTTACTGTAGCGGAACTGTTCCAGGAGGAGTTTTACTTCAGGTTCAGGTCTGAAACCCATAAAAATTCAACTTATTTTGTTGTTTTCAGCTTGGTATTTCTTGTGCTTATTGTTGTATACTTGAGGTACTGCATGTAACTTGTCTTACTGTCCACATCAAGTGGTATCAGAGCAAGTTCTTTCCTTGGGTTTGCTTCAATCTCCTTCTTGTGTTTTCTATATTATCATGGCTGCAAGGGGTGGACATGGTAGGGGTGGTAGAAGACCGCAACATGTCACTATAGAGGTTTTCCAAGAGGCTATAAGAGGACTGCAAGAACAGATTGAACATCTTGCTCAACTTGTAGCTCAAAATGCTGCTAGGGATGGTGACATAGCAAATGATTTGGGGCTAGGAAGAAGAAGACAAGCTCCTAGAGTTGATGAACAACTCATTGACATTATTAGTGAAGAATCAAGTGAAGACATTGAGCAACCTGAATGTGATCAGTATGGAAGGAATAATAACCAACGGTGGGAAGACCGAATAGTGCAAGCTTTACAATCCCATCAAGGTCATGGTGTTCAACTTCATATTTCCGAGTTTGATGGTGAGTTGGAACTTGAAGAGCTTCTAGACTGGTTGGACAGCATTGAAAATTATTTTGATTGAAAAGAAATGAATGAAGAAAGAAAGGTGAAGCTTGTAACAGCAAAGATGCGTGGGATAGCCTTAGATTGGTGGAAAAATTACCAAAGGGACAAAGAAAGGAAGGGGAAAAGAAAGGTTAGTTCCTGGGGAGGAATGAAAGAGAAGTTGAAATCCCAATTTTTGCCACCAGACTATGAGCAAACTCTTTACCGAAGGGTGCAGAATTTAAGGCAACAGGAAAAGAGTGAAGGAGTACACAAAAGAGTTTAATAGATTAACTCTTCGGAGTAATATGTCAGAAACTGAACAACAAAAAGTTAGTAGATATATCAATGGTTTGAGGTTGCCAATACAAGATCTAGTCAGCCTACATTGCCTGTATCAAATAAAGGATGCATATCAGCTAGCTCTAAAGGTTAAAGCTCAATTGAGTTGGAGCTCAGGGCGGAGGCTGAGTGCTGTCCAAGGTACACCTCCATTGGTAGGTCGAAGTGTTGGGGCTGGTAGGGGTTGTGTGATCAACCAAACACGCCCTACAGTCCAAGGGACTTCAAATGCAACAAAGAACAGTCAAGGGCAGCGGCCTACTATTAGATGTTTTAGGTGTATGGAGTTGGGACATCGTTTAAATGAATGTCCTAAGAG